TCTCTCTCTTTCTCCCTCTCTCTCTTTCTCCCTCTCTCTCTTTCTCCCTCTCTCTCTTTCTCTCTTTCTCCCTCTCTCTCTCTCACACACACACACACACACAGATAATGCTAATTGCCGTATTCATACGGCTATGAACTCATACGCTAAGCACTGACATGGCTAGACACAATCACGGCTACGAACATTTACGGTATGCACACTAACGTTTCGCACACAGCCATGAGGCACACTCACCGGTGTGCACTCTAACCGATTCGTACATGGATGCGACCGCTAACCGGTATGCACACTACAGATACGCACGCTCCCTCTTCGTCCAAATTCAACTCTCTCGGTTAATTTGCATGCTTTGCCCTCATAAATACGAACAACAAATAATGAGTTTGAATTTCAGGATTCTCCGGGTAGCGGGGCGGGCCGAAGTGAGTTGTAGTTGGATGAATTACTTTAGATGTTTCTCTAGAAAGATATGATGTAGAGTATTATTGAGCCTGTTTTTTTGTAATTGTCTTCACATAGATTTCATTGTCAATGATATAGAAACACTTTTATTTGCAGGATTTGAGTAGAAAATCAAGGTTTCATTTCTAGTTGTTGCCCTTTTCCCGCTATTGAGATTAAACTTGAATGAGATTCATTTTTTATGAAGCAATTAAATTCATTTCAGAAGATATCTCATTAGTTTTTATATCGAATCATACAATTGCTCTGGGGTTGGAAGGACAGAAGTGAGAATATTTTTCCCTCTAGAGGGGAAATCGTCTACTTTCGCCAAATGCCAGAAAAGATTAGCGAAAAAATCTCATAGCGCAGTGCGCACAAACATAGGAGCTGATTGCACGGTAGCGGGTTCTGATTCAAACACTCTTAATTTCATAATGGCGCCACATGTTCACTCTGATTGTAACTAAATACTCTTGGGCTTAAAGCATTTCATTAAAACATATATTTGTACAAGGTTTAGGAAAAGGCGAGTGTGATTGATATTCAAACACACGACGAATCAAATAAACATATAACCCCAAATCTGTAAAAGGCATTGTTTTCAACGAGCCCAATTCCCAGGTTTCCGACCAATATGGCATCCGTGACGCCCTATGAGCGGCGGTTCGAAGGCGGCGCGCGAACGTAGTCGAAATCCACTCGCACGGCAGTGAACGGCCACGCCATCTGTCGGCAGTTTTCGACGGAGCGGCCGTTTATGTTCCACCTGGAAGGCCCCTCCGCGTGCCGGCGCGGGGAACAGGTGGCGCTGCGCGCGGTGCTCATCAACAACATGCAGACGGAGGCGCTGGCGCTGCTGGAGGTGCGCGGCGCGCCCACCCACCGCTTCGTGCACGTGGAGGAGGGCGGCATCGTGTCCAGCTACGGCGCGCGCCTCGAGCCGGGCGACCACCACCACCTCGTCTACGTGAGTGTCTGCGATCCGGCCTTCCCACCCGCCCTCCAACACTGAAAGTCAACCCTCCCACCCCGCAGCCTTCAATTCCCGACACCCCAACCCAGCAATCCTGCAATCCATGAACCACAAAACCCACCAGCCCCTCAATCCCACAACCCTTCTACCCCGCAACCTCCAACTCCGCAACTTTGTCACCCAGAAATTCTTCAACATTGCATCCCTCCAACTGACCAGCCGCGCAACCCGTCAGCCGCGCAACCCGTCAGCCGCGCAACCCGTCAGCCGCGCAACACGTCAGCCGCGCAACCCGTCAGCCCCGCAACCCGTCAGCCCCGCAATCCTCTATCCTGCACCCCTCCTACTACACAACCGTTCAACCCCGCAGCCGTCCAACCCCGCAACCCACCGCACCATCACACATCAACCCGGCAACCCACCAACCCGGCAACCCACCAACCCGGCAACCCACCAACCCGGCAACCCACCAACCCGGCAACCCACCAGCCCCGCTAACTACCAACCCCGCAACACACCAACCCCGCAACCTAAAACCCACACACTGACCCCGGAACTTTAAACTCCCTAGTCAGGTGACGTAAACACCCAAACCTGTACCAATTCTCCATTCAATATCATTTGTAAGATTTAGTTTTAATTAATCCAATAGCAAATTCACACATGTCATGAAATTTTTAGATTAGCAGCTAATGTTCCTGATTTTGCTTGGTTATAAATTTTTATGAACAATTTTTTTACTTTTATTTTTAAATCCTTCTATAATTCTGAAAGGAGAAAAAAAAGTGCCACTATAAAATTTTATTTTCTCAGCTCCCTCCCAGATCTCAACAGCATGTGGATATCCCAATTGCACCATCGATTGAACAAGGTGAAGTCAGCATTGAAGTGTCAGCCACCACTCAAATTGCAGGATTCAAACACATTCACAATATGACAGTATTGGTATGTAACTTGAAGAATTTATTATTATTGGTTTATGACTGTCTGTTTATGTCTGTCAGTCCATTGTTCTGAACTGTGGCCACTACTGGTGTTTTTATTCTACTATCTAATAGAAGATTTGACCCACTGGCTTCTATGTATTAACTTGTACAAAACGTGATCTCATTTGCATTTATTAAAATCTTCTGGTCTACGTAATAGATTTCTCTCCATATCCCTGGAGCTCTTTTATTGGGTTTGAATTCTTTTTGTACACTCCTACCTTTAACAATTACCACAAAAACACCACTAGAGAGTTACAGAGAGATCTTGCCAGTAAATTACCATAAATATTTACTGAATTATCTCATGACTCTGTCTTAAACTTTGACATTTGACTGTACAGAATAGAAAAACTTTGTTTCAAGGGGAATAACTAAGAGTTGTATACTGTATTACCAACTTGAATATATCCCGTTCTGTTACTTCTTAGTGGGAGGAAGGAATGGTAGAAGATGAGGAAGTGTTGATAATCAGCATTGAAAAACAATGTGACATTTCTTCAGCAAAGGAAATCAAAACTCTCCCATGTGGCAATCAAAACTCTCCCGTGAGTCTGCATTGTGAGGGCCAGGGGAAAGTGAGGGTCTCCACCCATGCAACTCATGTCAGTACTCCGTATCTGTGTTGCATCTAGATCATATTTTACAGAGAGGCCATTTTCAGTTCAAACACCCATAACTATTTTTTGAAATATTAGCTTGAAATATACCAAAGTACAAATATGTCTATATATGACAATTATTTTGAAGAGAGTTAAATAAGTGAAAATGTTACTGGTGGCTTGGTTCCCTGGGATTTGCCACAGCTTTGTATAGGTGTTAACTAGACATTCACTACAAAAAATGTGAATAACCAATAAGCTTTATTGCAAAGTATAGTCCATATTGTCAGGGGTGTCAAGAAGATGGCTGGGAGCTTAGGCACCTTGCCCCCTTGGAAATTTCTTTCATTCAAAACAAATAAAAATGTAATTTCTTCTAAATCAGATTAATCATTCTAAGTTATTTCTGTTGCTACGAGAAATGAATTCTGTTTTGTATTTGGAGGGGGGGATGCATTTGTTGGAAATAAGGCCCCCCTGTGGATCTTCTGTCCTAGACCTCTTTGTTCTCTCTGGGTGTCTCTGGGCCCCCCTTCTCCTCTACAACTTGCAATTGATGCACATTGTTGTGACAAACCATTGTATTCATATTTTCAAGGCAGAAGGAGGTCTTATAACAAAACACACATCTGTGTTTCTGGATCTCAAGAATAGAGCTCTTGTTCTAAGATACATGGCAATCTTTGTAGACCAGTCACCAATAGTTCCGTACCACGACTGGAGACGCTACATTTTTGGAAGTACCAGTGGCAGTGTGACAGTGAGCGGTATGCAGTAAAATTATTGTTTCAATATTGTTTATTAGTATGGTTAAAATTACTAATGATGCATTGGATTTGTACTTTTCAGGTGATGTTTTAGGCCCAATTTTTCCTGAAATCCCTCTTACAGTACAAGGTGTTATGGGCATGGAGCTGAAAGGAACCGAAGCATCAGCCTTTGAACTGGCAAACAATGTATGGACATTGCATTACCTTCGCCTAACAAATCAGCTAACACCACGATTTGCACGACGTGTTCTTGAGGAAGTGAATGTTCTTTTGGGAGAAGTAATGAGGCGATACAATATTCAAGGCTGGTTTCAAAACTGGGATACTTCTGCACCTAGTGTTTGGTAAACATTTTTTTCATAATACTGTACAGTTATATCAACTTAACACAACCAAACAGAGGAATGAAAACAACTCTTAATGGCTGGCATCCATTAAGGATTTTACAGTCGGGGTCTGTAAAAGGAGTTAGCGACCACTAAAGATTTAACGGTCAGCAATTATTAAAGATTTAACAGTCGATGGCTCATCATCCATTAAGAACAATTTAACAAAATAAATTCAGGCTAAAAATGGATACATGTATCCTTAATCCAATAAATATCATCTTAAATGATTTTTTGTTAATATAAAATGATAACTGGATGCAATATGCTTCAAAATTTTTTAAGACTACTTAACAAAATAGTATTGTATTTACATGTTGCAATATAATTATTATATTTCTATGTAATCATTACAAATAATGTCCAAAAGTGTGTGTTACAGCAGTTACAGTGTGTCTCCAGCGCTACTAGCTTTCATACTAGATTCATTCAGGTAAATAATAGAAAACTGTATGGGAATTTGTTAAGAGTTAATATGTACCTTTTTATATACAGGCTTACAGCATGGGTAATACGAACATTGAAACACGGAGCATTTCAAGATTGGGAAGATCATTTTTATGTCCAACCAGATATTTTTCAGCATAGTGTTGAATGGTTGCTGCAGTTTCAATCAACAGAAGGTTATTTCAATGAAACTGAACACTATTATTTACCAATGGATCCTAAAATGAGAATGGTATGAAAATATGTCATAAAGGATGAAGTGGCAATGCCATATGATTTATCAGACAAGAAAATAGTAATTATTATTTCTTTGTAGGTTTCTGGCAACTCAAGTAGCCCTGTCACTTTAACTGCCCATGTTCTTATTAGTCTATATGAAGTTTCGCAGCATGTCCATGGGGCACTTAAAACAACTGCCTATTCAGCCACATTACAAGCAGCCAGGTACTGACTTTTGATCACATGATGAAGGTAGAACTCAATCTTTAGTAATGAATATAATTTTTAAAGACTTTTTGAAAACCTTAGCTATTGATTTTCCACAACACAACACATTATGTTCAAATAAAACTTGAATGTAATATGAAATAATATCAAGAACATTTTTGAAGAAAGCTATTATGATATATTATTTAGAACATTTATTTAAATTCACATGTCATTTTTCAGAAAAATGCAACAAAATCTTTTATGTTTCAGTTATTTGGAACATATGTTGTCACAGCTTACAGATCCATACGCCATAGCTATTACAGCTTATGCTCTTACATTGAGTGGAAGTAGCGAACGAGATAAAGCTATGAGATTGTTGCAGAGACATGGTAGAAAACTTGGTAAGATACCATTATTAGATATTGAAACCTATCAGTTTTTGTATGAAACACCACAAAACAGGGTTTGTAACTTTAACATTTACAGATGGTCTTCTTTATTGGTCTCGTGTGCCTATACCACCTAATGAGATACGTTATGAAAACCAGAGGCCTTTCATACGTCCCCGAGAACATCAGGAAGGTGATTCTTTGGCAGTAGAAACAACAGCATATGCATTGCTAGCTTTGTTGGCATGGGATGGTGCAACAATAGAAGGTGAATTGGTGGTTCAGTGGCTCAATGGAGTACGTATGAGCAATAATGGTTTCATATCAAGTATGGTTAGTATTTTTATACTTTTTGTTCACAAGAATAATGTTTCTATTTTTAAAAAGACTTCACTTATAATATTATAGTGATGGTATGAATGATTTTTGCTTAAACTTTGTACATTTTGCATTTCCAGAATTTTTATTCTCTCTTATTAATCTTATTCTTATGGTTTAGGATTCAGCCATTGGTCTCCAAGCTCTCACTGAATATGCTTTTCGTGCGAGACTGTTGGCTGTTACTGAGATGTCAGTGACAGTTGATATGCCAAGCTCTGAGTTAAGTACATCTCTTCATGTTGGAAACATGAGCTTAGGCAGTGAACAAACATTGGAGGTATGTAAAGTGGCAAAACCACGATACCAATTTTTTTGGCAATTGAAGAGCAAGTGCATTCTTTCATAAGTTCTGCAGATATTCCCATTATTCAATATCAATAATAAAATACTAATGTATTAAGATTTATTTTTAAGGATAAAGTGAAAAACACATGTTGCAAACAATGTAAGTGCAACATGACAAAAAGGAATAGGGTAACAATAACAATCTAGAAGTCCAGACAGTTCTTTTTTGCAGCAGTACTATTCTCTTTTTTTGAAATTAAATTCTTAAAATAGTGCAAATATTATAGTTAGAGGTTAAAATGTCCATTTACCAAATGTTCACAAATTAAAATTTCCAAACTACAAATATGTCCCTTGAAATGAATATCTATTGTCAAAAACATCCAACTCAATAAAGATCCATATATTTTATGATAAAAAGGTCCAAAGTAGAAATAAATCCAACATAATATTTTCGGCAGTTTTATTGCTGAATACTTCCTCACTATAATCTAAGATTTAAATTGCTCAATACACAACACAGTTTGCTTTTAATATTATTTTTGTTATGGTATTCAGTGTACTGCCGAACTACACTTTGTATTCTCAATTGGTTGGTTAAATATTTTATTATTTATAGAAGGCCTTAAAGTTACATGACCTGCTGCAATTTAAGCTACAGCACTTCCTTTGACATTTTCTTATACTCTTAAATATTACAAAAACCTCCTTATACTATTTAACTGTCATTATAATTAAATGCTTATTTTGTTGTTGCAAAAAGTGTACAAATTGTATAATTTGAATATGCTTAGAAACAGTTTTGGACCTTTGTTTCTTAAAATCTTTTTGCTTGTGAAAGTGTCTGTCTAGAAGATTATGCAGTGAACATATTTGTAGACAGATTAATCTGTCACTGGACATTCTCAAGTACACAGTTTAATCTGGAACTGATATTCCTGACAAATGTAATCTATTTTTTGTGATTGTATTCTGTATTTAAGAGAAATTTATTTCCCTCAGGAGTAGGGCTGGAATGATTTAAATCATGTGATTTGATTGATTTAAATCCATATTTGTTATTTGTAATATTTGAAAATATATTTGTATTTTAAATAATGTGATTCTCTACATTATATTTAAATATTTGTAAAATAAAAATTACTCAGATAAAAGAACTTGAAGCAATAACAAAGTCGATGTTAATTATGTATTATATTTTTTATAAACTTTTTTATATAGTCGATCTAGATTGGAGAGAAACACATTTAAAGCTTGAACAGTGTCCACAATTCTAGATTTGTATTAAAATGTTTCCTAAGAGGTACTTAAAAAGTACCTCTTAAACCCTCATACCATATCTGGGGTCTTTTTGGACCCCATCATCATTAATTTGTTAATATTTTCCTGAATATTTGCAGGATCGTTTTAGTCTTCTAGATATACCTCCTTGCACTTATTAACCCTTAGACTCTGTTTGGGGTCTTTTTTGATCCTAAGGACAAAAATGTTTCCCAACATTCTGGAAATTATTCACATGACCTTCTCCTTTTAGATATGATATTTACATCCAGTTTTACATATGTTATAATCTTTTCAATTTTCTAAGATGTTTTCTTTGTTAAAAATAATTCAATTTTTATGTGGTTTGAGTAAAAAAGTCACATTTGACATCTAAATTACAAGAAACATTCTACAAGCATGTCCATTTCCGGTTTGTAATATTATGTTGCGATTCTGAGTGATCATTTGGTGCATTTGTGTATTCGTTTTGGGAGCTCTGTTTCAAATGTTCTCATGCTGGTACGATAGTCATGTCTAGTAATGAAGATATGCTAGAATGTTTTTCTATCTGAAAATAACATTATTGTTTGTTACTTAATACAATGAAGTAAATAAAGCAAATTAATAGAATTGTTTTTTAATTAATAATTCCAAATAACATTTCTGCATGAAATACTTGTAAATTAATGTGTAAACCTTTTAGGATCTCAGAAGATTCCAAACAGAGTCCACATAAGTATTTGAGAAATAGAGTAGAAGGGTTAAGAAGGTATCAAACCATTTTCACATATTTTTCATATTTTATTAGAAGGTTATTACTTTTTTTCATTACATGATACCGGTTTGACCAAAGTTATAGTCTGTTATTTTCCCATTCTCATTTGAAATATCTGAAAATAAGTAAATCACTTAACAACTTTGGTTAAAAGTAAAAACATATAATAAAATTTTAAAAAATCTTATATTAATAAAAAAAAATTAATTTGAATTAAAAAAGTCTGATTTAAATAAAAAATATCTCCCCCCCCCCAAAAAAATCATGATTTTTCCAGCCCTACTCAGAGAGGATAGATTATAAACAACTTCTTTTAATTTTACATTCCAATCTGCCTCTGCTGTGAAGTAATAGAAGAAATGCCATTTTATTTGTAATGTAAACTCTAGTTTGTTAAATGTTTGCTTAATATGTAAATGAATATGACTTGGATTAATATTATTTATTCATTGAATATTTGTATAAACTACTTAAAACATTCCTTTATAATTTCAATTTTTTTGTTAATTGCAGGTTCCAAATGTTTGGGGACATGTGAACGTCATAGCACGTGGTAGCGGACAAGCACTTGCCCAGATGGATGTCAGTTTCGGTATAGATTTTGAATCTCTGGTTGAAACACCCATTGTGCGTTGTTTTGAATTAAAATTTCGTGAATTTTATTCAACTTTCAGAAATAAATCTTCTATCACAATTGAGAGCTGTATGAGGTAAGATAAGAAAATATTGTAAGACATACTTTTTAACAAAAACTAATTTATTTTTCAGTTCAATTTATGAGGAATTTTGTTTGCTTGAATGAAATAATAAAAATGCCAAAATACATATATTTAACATTAGTGGCCTTCTGCAGCAAAAATGCTGTTGTTGATAGTGTGGGAAATGGGGTCATTGAGCAAATTGGCTGTTCTGAAATGGCACATGTGAATACTGAAGGTTCTTTTGACCTCATCGTATGGCGTTAACAGTGACACACTGAGAATGAGAATGTGGTTTGAGAAATTGCAGTTTAACATTCAAATATTTGCATTTTTCAGGCCTAATAAAATGTGTTTTATTGTTTTTGTATTTTTCCATCCGACCTAGAAATTACTTAAATGATGCCAGAAAATTATAGAGATAATATAGAGCAAAATTTCTTTAAAAATAATGTATTTCTCTTTAAATACTTCATCTACAGTGTTATATATTATTATTAGAAGTGGAATCAAATTTCCATGCATCAGTTTGTAAACTGTCAATGTTTTTCCATGCATACATGTCCCAAATCTTATTTTAACACATATATAGTGAAGCATATTTGTCTATTTAAAAAAGTCTGTTACACCAGGACTCTAAAAGAAAAAAGAACTCCATAACTAAAAGGTTAATTAATTCAATGAATATATATTACCAGTGCGTTGCTTTCAGTATCTTTCGTTAATATATTTCTTAAAAGCTGTTTTTTTAATGTGTACTGTTCAGTATTTAATGAGAAGAAATGTGTCAAATCCAATTAAACTTACTTTTTATATCTAGGCACAGATTTTTGTTTTGTTTTTGTTGTTGAAAGTTAAAGATAAGTAAATAAAGAAAGTTTTGTAAGATACCCAGGAACTGAGGAAAAATACAAAAACAATTTAACAATTTAAATTCATAAACTAAATTTTGATAATTTTGACTCAGAAATACAAATTTTTGATAGTTATTCTGCCTATTCTCATTCTGAGTTTACTGACTGCATTCTCACATTCAGTCCATCACAGCTGTTTTCTTACAAAAGCAAGTTCCAACAAAGAGGCCACCTATCATTAAATATTTGTTCTTCACATCATGCATTAGGAAAAGGAACTTGTTCTTGGTATGTAAAAATCTATTGTTTGGTGTACTCGTATATGATGTAATATGTCATGGAAGTATTCATAAAGACTGTTTTTGTTAAAATATTGAATTTATTGATGGATTAAATGAGAGAGTATTTTATTTTTTGTTCTTGATCAGAGTGCATGCAACTTTTAGAAATCTCTTTTGTATGGTTTTGTTCAGAAGCATTTTTGCTGCTGGAGGCCACTAATTTAATTTCATCTTTTGAAGGTGATATTATATAAATAACTAGTAATCGAAAAAAGAAATTTTCACCAATGTTTTATTAAAATACATTCTGTAATTTTTGCAGTAATTTCAAATGAATTTAATGTCAATAAGCACCAAAATATCCATTTATTTTCAGGTAAAATTTGTTTGATGTATGTAGGATCTCTGCTGGATAGTGATCCCTAGTAATTTCTGAAACAAAATGTTATTTTAGTTCATATATATGTAAAAATTATTTTTAACTATTTTATTAATGTCACATACATCCATAAATTTAAATTCCGGTTTTGAAACAAAAGCAATGCATTTTTTCCCCTCTACAAAAAGATGAAAATTAGTTTAAATTTCTACATTATAGATATTGTCATTAATATAATTTATTATCATGTTTTGATTACTTCACTCCAATTTTTCAATATTCTTAGTGGGTCTAATAGTTCAGAAATTTTTAGGGCCCTTAAGATTTTAAACTAAGCCTCATTGTATGAATCTATTTATAAGTTTATGGGAAAAAGAAACATGAAGTTAAATATAAGAAGTTATGAGAAATGAGTACCAATATTTAGGGACTTCGGTGTCTTCAGCCCATTCTTTATGCTTTCTTTTTCATCTTTTGACTTTGTTTTGTCACACAAATGTAATCATGTTCCATCCTAGATTTCAACTTTCAGTTCCATTTCTTTCAATGAAATTTCAAATATTTAATTTTTAACTTTTATAATATTTGTATCCTATATCCATAACCTTATGCTTTCTTCTTTGGACATTCAATATTTTTATTATGAATATCACCAGCTACAAACTTCTTTCTTCCTGGCATGCCTCTTCCCTTTTCGAAAATTCCCTATCACTTCAATAATGCATCATTATTCAGTGATAGTATGCAGTACTTCAAGAACATGTGATCAGAACATAAAACAACAAAAGGCAAACTCACAATAGAAAAACCAATATCTACAGATGAAAATATATTTTTCTTAGTCATATAGAAAGATGATTTCACTTAAAAACTGCAAAAAATTATTTATAATAAAAAAAAGTATTTTCAGTAGTATTGATCAACTTTCAATACTATTAATTATTATACTATATTAATTCATAAACAGAATTGAATAATGCAAATTAAAATTAATGTATTGATAGAACCACGTTCTCTTAGCGAGAGGTGAAAAATAATGGTCAGGTTGTATCCATCAGCATATTATTAAACGTATTTAGTTTCCACATTTGTGGTGTGTTAATCTTTACCAAACCTTGCAAGGACACTGGGACAATTCCTTGATAGTTTTGTGAAAATAAAAGAGAGAAAATGTAATAATTGTTTGCAATAAGTATACTATCTTCTAAAGAAAGCTGTAATGTAATAACACTAACAAATTCATCTAGATGGATTTTGAACGATCCTCCTGTAAGTGGAGCAGCTGTTTTGGAGCTAGAAATTCCAACTGGTTACCACCTCTTGGAATCGGAAGCCATTCAGATTGCTGCCTCCCGAACACATCCAACTTTACGAGATGGTAGAACTTTGGAAGGAAAAACAGCATGGTATTTTGACTATGTAAGGGCTAAGTGCTTCTTCTTAGATGTTGATGAAAAACTAACTTCTTCCTTACATTACACTAATTCATATTTATAATGACAGATACCTCAAGAATGGACTTGTTTCAATCACACTATTCGTCGATGGTTTCCTGTAGCAAATATGACTTTATATCGACAAGCAATGTTATATGAAGAATATGCCAGAGGTAAATTTGAAATAGAGCATGAAACAAAGTTTCTATTCTAGATGTAATCAATGCAAAATTTATTAATATACAATACTAATTAAAATAAAGAAATGTTAATATATTAATGCATTTGTTTATGTCTGTGTTGCAGAGCATTTCGTTCATGTACTTGTGAATTCTACTCCTTTGTACCTGTTGAATATTTGTGAAGTGTGTGGTTCTTACCAGTGCCCATATTGTCCACACTACAGTGGTGCAATGCAGTTTGTCGCAAACATTGTTGTTTTGTTTACTGCCAGTATACTGGTCACATTGTTTAGTCATTGGAGAACATTAAATTAGAGATAAAAAACTGTGAAAAGGTGAAGATAAGATTTGCAATTTGCATGACAGTGAGGCAAACACATTTTTTAGTTCACACTGAAAGTGGAACAGAATTGATACTTTACATATAACATTCTTGATAATGAAATGGGAGAGATTTCTTGCACTGAATTCAAAGCTGCCTCTGCATTTTGTAATAAAAGATTAAGCATCCTGTGACATTTTTATCAGTATTAATTTATGAGATCATTATTACTTTTATACATTGCGCAAATAATCAGTGAAATGAATGCTGTGTAGTCATGTTTATATTGGAACAGTGTGCTTGCAAATGAGTGTACAATATGCTGTGAATAATGTAAATATAATTACAAATTTTCATAAAGTCTGGAGTTTTATTTAAAGCTTTTTTTTCTTCCAAATATATCATTAGTGCATAATAAACCTTCATTTATTTATCATCAAATAGTAGTAAAAATTGTGAGGTACAGGGAGTATCTTTTGAGTGTAAATTACATAAAGAACAATATTAAGCCACTCAACTAAACAATTATAAAATAAAAAGCAGTCCAAAAATTTCCAATTTTTATTTTAATATATATCGTGTGTTTACTTTGAACAGACATAACTGACAACAATCATGCTTCAAATTAAATAGTTTAATATAAAATTAGGGAGTTTTAACTAATACTTACTTTAAAAATCCGACCATACTTGTTCAGGGACATAAATATACGTGCGTACATAGATGTAGGGGAAAAATCAGAAATAAACATATTTTAAATGTCGGAGTATTTATTTGTTACCAAAATGTACATTATATTTATATGACATAATGTATTCTAGCTTGGCCCTTGCTAACAGTAATGCACACATTTTGTAAATAATTGTTTTAAAATCAAATCAAAAACAGCTTGAAATTGGTTCCCAACTTCAGGCCAGAACCTCAAATCTGCATTGAAGCATGTAGGCCCATCATTACAAGACAATTAACATGTCAATTTCATTTGACAAAGATTTCTAGGTTCTCTTCATTTCTGAACAACCGGCTACAGAATAAGGGGTCATCCAAAGAGGTTAATCTTCATTCAATTCATTGTTCCTCATGAGTCTTGCATGTTTCCTCAATATATTCCTCTCACACGTGCCCTCACAAGTTCACAATATGTTCTCTCGCTTGTTTACTGTGTGTTTTCCCAATGTTTTCTCACATGTCCGCATGTTCTTCCTTGCACGTTTCCACCATGAATCTACACATTCCTCAGTTATTCTATACATGTTACCCCAGAAGTTCATCACAAATTACCGTATGTCCCTCCAAATTTTCCTCACATTTTTACCGCATGTGCCTCCCCTGCCAGATGAAACAAGAAGTTCTGAAATGCTTGAGTAAAAAGATGTAACAGTAGGACCTCAAAAATTTTTTGCAAAAAAATTGCAATCCCCAAAAAACATTATAGTTTAAATCTTTGTTTTAAAAGTGAAAAAAGCTTCATTCTGGAATCCAACTTTCAGCGTATCTGCTAAATCTGAGGTTTGGAGTAATGAAACTCTAAAACCCTGGGGAGCAGGTTATTTCCTATCCAGCAGTAATTCCCTTGTGCACTTTTGTGTTCTTATAAAATGGAATAATCCATTCTCTTTCCTTAGCATATTATATATAGAGGGAATATTTTGTGTGTGTGTGTGAGGTGGGTATGGGAGAGTTTGGGTGTGAGAATGTGCGTCTTCTGTACAACTTCTTGTGTCTGTATAACAGAGCATATAAAGGAAGAAAAGTGATCATTATTAAGGCACTGCCATCCATTTCAGTGAGCGAGAAATGAAGCTGTGACAAAAGTGTGAAATAATTTGAAAATGTTATCAAAACCAGGAATTTATATACAAATAATTTTTTTCTGAGATGGTCAAGCGACCAGTGCAAATGGATTTGAGGTAATGGGTATCTATCTAACCTTCATTACTGAAAATTGATTTTTGTAATTCAATCTATTCTAAAGTGCTTTAAACGATTTCAAGACAACTTATTTCAAAATATTAGTAGTTTTCAGATAAATTAAATCAAATTGTGTCAATTTCCCAGAAATAAGTAATAAGATATTCTCAAAATCAGCTCCAATTTTTTTCTTTTAACTTTTTGTGTGGATAAAGCACAAAGCACATACGGATGTGACATAAGTGCCACTTCAATTAAAACTTTTTACATAAATGTACACAAAAATTAAAATGTTTCTTCAACTTTCCTCAATTTTTTTTTTCAACCTCTCATTATTTTGATTGCAGTTTATTGCATGATTTAATGCATTTATTGACACAAAGATTCTTTGATGAAGTTTCTTGAAATCCAAAGAGTTTTCACATGTGAGTGAGGCCAAAATGGTGCATTAGCAAGAAATCAAATGAAATATTCTCAAAAACAACTTTAAATCTTTTCCCAGGAATTTTACTATTAAATAAGGTTCACTTGTATTCTAAACGATACATTTTGATTCAACAATCAGGGTCGAGAAAAATCAGGGAAAATGTGAAAGAATATGGTTTTCTTTTTATGCAACACATTATTTAAAATATAGTTATCATAGTAATGAAATTTGTGTTCTTTGCATTACAGTAAACCATTGTATTCATTGATTTTTTCTAAATATTATGTACTATAGCTTGTGTTTAGTCACTGAATTTAAAGAAAATGGTTTGGGCAGTTTGGCATAAGGCAGGGCAGAGCAGGCCACACCCGGTCAGGCAAGAGAATGGATACTCTATTGATAAAATTATTCCTTTTCCTGTCTGAATATTGTAAATAAATATCCTGATATGTAAAAGAAATCAGTTTTAAACTTCCACTAGTCATAAGTATCAAAATACATTATTCTCAGAAATAAAACAGAAAGAAAATAATTAGTATATCCTTCTAAAACATTACTAAAGGCAACATTTTAATAAACAAGAACTGCAGAACTTAAAATAACCTTATTTTCTCTTTCCACAATTAAAGCACCCCAATTTCAAGTTTGAAAACTGAAATAAAATTTGACAGGGTTAAATAAATTTTGAAAAGAAATATTAATGAATGGTTTTATTAAAATATACATATTTACATTATTGTTAAAAAAATCATAATTTCTTAACGTTGTACTTAAAATCACTGAATCACCTCCGGGCAAAATTCTTGTCCATGGAGCCACCTGATCGCTGAATATTGTTGATATTTGACTTGATGCGGCTGGCCACAGAGCTCTGTGCATGAGCTTGAGACAGGTGTTGGCTAAAAATTAAACAAAGAAGAAATTAGAAGATAAGAAAGATAAGATTTGAATAAGATACATATTTTGGCATAATATGATTTATTAAAATAAAATGATAGAATGTGTCTGTTAGCGAAAGATCATTCTAATGCCATTCCAGTACCCAGAGAATACCAATCTGAGGACACATCCCAAAATACTTAGCAATATAATTGGGAGAAAAAAAAAAAAAAGAAATTGCGAATTAAGAACTAATGTTGTATGCATTTAACAATCTATGATAGTCATTTTCTTCAAGTTTGTGTTTTCATATTTTCAGTTATTAAGCTGCAGCAAGGACAAATATTTTGAACATTTTTTTTATTCTTGTGGTCCTCTTTGCAGAGACATACATGTATATGTCCTTTTTTGACTAACTATTTCAACATAAATAACAACCATACACTACTCATATGACAAGTATTATTATCTATTTATACTGACCAAGAAATTATTGACTATTTTCTTACCGGAAGAAATCGTCACTGAATTCTTTTTGTTTTTGGCTCTTCTCTTTACGATCTGCTTCACGATAACGTGCAACATTGCTCTCTCTTTCTTTCTCTCGCCACGCAGCATTTGAAAGCATTTCCTGGCGACGACGTTCTTTCTCTTCATCTGACAATTTCTGTTTACGTGGAATTTGTGGAGTCTGAGGAGTTGGTGCTTTAGATTTGTCATCTCTTGTTCGTGATTCCTCTGTAGAAGGCTTAGGTGATAAAGTTCTATTAACTTTGGCCCCTGGTGGAAGCTATATAAACAACAGCATATTTAAATAGTAATACAGAAAAATTCAATACAAAATTTATGAACAGACCTTAAAAGAAATAAAAAATTGATTTGATATCCAACAAATAATAAACATCATACATACAAATTCTTTCTAATCTGTTCATTACGCAAGTGGCAATTAAAAATATAAGCAAAACTGTAGGAAAATACAGGTTCTCAAGGAAGTTTTAGAAGTATTTTTGTGGGCAACAGAGCAGGCTTCAGTAAGAGTATAAAGGTATTTATAGCCATCCTCAAGATTGCTGAAGTAATTTAATTGTTCTATCTTTTTCAATTCCCATTATTTACAGTTTACTTAAGCAAATTATTTTGCAAATAATTTTATTGGATTATATTGTATTAGACAGAATAGGTAAATACGTTTTTGCCTTCAGCAATTTCTTAATATTTCCTTGTGAGATCTCATGACTTTTTTAATAACTCACCAGAAGACCGTAACTTTTGTGAGGTTTCTTGGAAGGAATTTCTTCTTCACTTTCAGAAGTACTGCTTGTCCTTTTTTTATGTTTTTTCCTGTCTTCATTGTCGGGAGATTTCTGGAGTGCTTCTAAAGCATTATCACCAAGCTTCTGCTTTAGTTTTTGATATTTTGCAAGTAATTTTGCATCAAGATCACTATCACTATCATCACTTGAACTGGAACGTTTACTTCTCTTCTTACTTTTCTTCTTTTTCTTTTCTTTCTTATGCTTGCCATGACTTTTCTTTGATTTTTGAGTTTTCATCTAAAAAATTGAGCAAATTGTTAGTTGTACTGCATTACAAGTTCAGTACACAACAAAGAATATCCAATGTCACTTTGAAACTATTATTTGGCATTATATTAAGTTCACACATTTAAAAGGGACACATGAGAAAGATAAACTTGGTTTAGGGTTGGGTGCGGATGCATCATAGATTGAAAGACTCCAATGGCAATGGCATATTTGTGGCTTGCGGTGATAGAAACGATTGGATCCACACCCCATTAAATTACTGCACTTCAGAAACATGGAGAGAAAAGTGGAATGAGAAACTATTACTTCCAACTTAGAAACATAATGTTTGCCCAGAACATATTAGGTGATTATAGGTCTCACTTCATGGAAGAATTAAGAACATTTCTAGGAAAATTTTGAACCATTAGGAAAACAGTAATCAGGCAGTGAGAAAACAGCACTGGTTAGTAGTATGAGTGGAACCTAGACTGGAGATGAAATAAGTAAGTGATAATAAATTATCAATAATTAATTTAGTAAATTGATAAATAAATCAGTAAACAAAGATGTATAACATCAAATAATTAAAGGGGCAATTTAGGTCTTTTGTCCGAGAATTAAGGGCAGAGGCGATGGAGTGGGCGATCTTCAGGTTTTTTCCTCCGCCGTACCTTGTGGTCTCTTTTCTGTGGCTTTCATGCAATGGAGAGACCATTTGGAGTGAATGTCAGAATCTGAAAGGTCAGAATGCCGTTGGATGTAGGTATTGTAATAGCTTAAAGGTCTTCGAATTAGCCACATAGTTAAAAATAAATAATATATAAAATATAAAAAACCTGTTTACAGGTAGGCAATCCACATAATGAATGTTGTAGTTAGTAAGAGAGACTGGGAAAAGACAAAATTATATTTATCAAAGTATAGGTGCAAATGTTTTGTTTTTTTACATAAAAAGAGCATTTGAAACAATAGATACAAATAGACTATTAGTACAACAGGATCAAGGGTAAGATTCTTAAATACCTTGTGGACAATTGTACTGGAAGATCTTAACACTTCAGTACTGACCTCTATCAGGAATACAGAAAATTAATTGTGTTTATAGTGATGTTCAGGCTGTTTAAAACAGAATAGTACAGACAAGCAAGCTGTATTATTTACTATTTGGGGCATTTTGGTTCAAATATGATTCACAGGAAAATGCCATGTGAAATGTGGTTTAATATGTAGCAAGCAGCAAGAGACAGAACATACAAGCTTATGTCATTATAGGTATTTGTTGCCCAGTCTTTAAATAACATAGAGACTAAACTAACCTTCTTAAAGGAAAATAGTCTTCATTTTGTTTAAAATGAATGCCTTATTAGTTTGTTTACTGAAGGTGTGATTGCATTGTGAAATAATATAATATTCTTTCATTTGCTGATGATACTATTACTTGTAAATTAGGTATGATGTAAATAGTTTTGTAAGAGATGTTAAAAAGATCTGGAACAATTACGTAAATGATTGAGAGTAAATAAATTGTCACTAAGTTGATCTACAACTAAAGGTATGTAAATAGCAGAAGAAAAATGTGTATTGTGATAACTAGAGGGATTTTACCATATTTGCATTTTATTTCTTAGGACCAAATAATATGCGTTTTGCAGGAAAATATATTTCAGAATACACAAAATTTTGTAGTACATTTTTCTTACATACATTGGGGATAGAAGCACATTTTAATATCATTGACTCTCTGAAGGTTGTTGCTCTGCTCTTTTCTTTAGCTGTTAAAAAGTTATTTTCCAATCTTATATCAGAGTATCTGGGGTGCTAGGTAGAGGCTAAGGGATTGTTCTTGAAAAAAGAATATTATTGACTTAGTTGATTGGAACCTGCTTGCTGCCATATTTGAAGAACAACAATCAGTAATGTTGTCATTCGTTTACTGGAAAGATTGGATGTGCAGAAAATAATCTGATTTAGAAAGAAGTAGTGTTGCTAAAGGGTAAAAATAATTAAAATGACTGGAGGTAGAATTTGAAAGAATATGCTCAATTACTACCCTCAGGGATGAAGAGGCCCTGGCAGACCAAGAAGAAGATGGAAGGAGCAACTCAACAAAACTGAAGCTGGAACGGACTAGACTAGGTCCAAACCATGCAGTAAAAGATGAAGACATTGGTGTTCTCTGTGGTTTTGGGGTAACATGATGATTCCTTCTCACGGGATACAATAAGGAATAAGAACCCAGAAAGGTTTGTACACATTCTTTAATATTTTTTTATAGGATCATTCATAAGAATATATTGATTGCTTCTTCCACAAATAATGGTTACCAAATTTACACTTCCAAACAATTTTTGAAAAGAATAAAACATACCATTTCTTTAAGTTGCTTCAGCTTAACAGGATTTTTTAGTATTTCACTGCGTGTTTGAAGCTCTTTCTTTCGAATTGCCAGCAAGGGATCTTCTTGAAGTTTCCGAGCGACATCTACTTGTTCTCCAGTTCCCGCAAAAATTGAACCAGGAAGGCATGCTAAAACATATATTACTCAAAATTACATTACAAATATTAATTAATAATTACATTTGTAAGAATAAAAGATGTAAGTATACTACTATCTGTTCTCCCTGGAACACTAATTGCTGTTTGTTGCTGAGATCGCTGAAGTTGTTCAAAACTTTTATCAATTGCTTTTCCAAGTAGATATTCTTCATGATCCACTGAAGAACCTGGACCTTTATACATCCAATCAAGTTTTACATCTCCTGATTTTTTCCTGAAATAAATCTATGGAATAACTGCACTTAAAATCAATCATTACAAACAACACACATTATTAGCTACATACTCTATAACGCCTTGATCTTCTGCATATTTTTGCATATCTTCTCTGGCTTTCTCCTCTTGTATTTCTCGCTGAAGTTCAGCAATTCGCTTTTTTTCCTGGTCATGTTTTTGTTCAGCTTTCCACACTTTTTCCATATTCCTCATAGTGGAAGGGTGCCATGATTTCTTCAAATTCTGTAATGGAAAATTAGTGTAATCAAAGCAAGTAACTTTGTTTAGGGATATACAGTTTTATTCTACTCACCAAATCACCTCCCCCCATTTTAGAAATGTTTTTTTAAGTTTCAAGCACCAGTTTTCTAGAAAAAAAGATTAACATTAATATACGTTTCAGATAAATTGAAACATGACACTCCAGATATCTTGTCGTGAATATCCCACTTATTAACTATTCCTTTTTCAATGTTTTGATAACTTTTATTATTACTATGATACTAAAATTACTTACCTGCTCTTACGAACCTTTTCTCAAAGTTAATTTCAGTCTCTTATTAAAGTGCTGAACTTCATATCAGGATATTGTGAGATTTCTGATTTCGCTCTACCTTTTCACTCCATTTTCTACTAGGTTTCAGATGTAGAGTATTCGGACGGATTGAATTTGTCCTTGTTTGTTTTTCGGTTCTAGTAGTTCATTTGTCACTTAGTAAAGATTTAACTCGCCAGAGTGTGTTAAATGCTGCAAGCAGACATTGTATTGTTCAAAAGCTTTGATTCAAAATGGCTGCAAGTGGTGAAACGGTGATAGACCTGTTTACAGCAATCTGAGCGGCAAATTGGTGCAATAACGAGGTTAATTAGCATTATTACCTACATTGTGATGTGAGAAGGGCTTCTTCATGAAAGTTTTGCTGCACATTGTAACTTAGAATGATAATATTGAATTCTTAGAAACCGTTAGAGAAACCTTTTTCAGAAAACGAGATAAACCATGTCTGTGCAGTGAGCATCTTGTTTATGTAGTGCAACATTGACTCTTAGAAAACTTTGTATCGAAAGTTTGAGAAGTATTATATTGTGAACTCTAGTGATTATGGAAATATTGTAATGTGATGCATTAGTGTGACGCAGGTGGTTTCAAATTTCGCAGTGCTTGAAACTGGAACCTAACGTTCGTTTTCATCAGATACAATGAGTGAAAATGTGGAAATTAGTTATCCTAGTGAGGAGTGTTATGAAACTACAGGCGTTGAAGCAATTGCAGTTGTAGATTCTGCTGTATGTTCGGAACCAACAGCGCCTGATAATAGTTCGGAGAAAATTGATACATTCGTTGCAGATATAGGAGACAAGTGTGCAGTAGAGAGTTTGAATGTTACGGAGAGTGAAGTTCACACTACACAGAGAACAAAACAAGGGACAAGACCAGAAGTGGCGCCAAAGAGGCGGCAGACTGTCTTATGGGAACCATTGCTTGTACCAACAGAAGTGGATGGGAAGTATGAAATGGTAACTGCATTAAAAAGAGTGGATTCTGATTATATTAGTGCCCCGAGAATAAATCCAAGAATAGTTGGAGCTCAAATAGTAAAAGATGCAAATCTTTCAATATCTCCAAGAATGGAAATACAAAATGTGGCGTACTCAAACCCTTCATCAAAAGTAATTGGTACCAAAGGCTCCACTGATCTTGAATTTAAACGTGGTGTTAAGAAGGAAATGGCTAAAAAGAAAGTACCTGATATAAAAATTAGTGAGCAGATGGGGAAAGCTATCGCAGAGAAGGAAGCTGCTATTTTGAAAGAAATTGAGAAGGCCATGAAAGAAGCTAATGTAAGAAATAAAACAGTATTGTCAGATAAAAGTGCAAAAATGAAAACTCCTTCTAAAATTGTTCCATCTCAAAATGTTAAAAAGAAGGAGTCTCATGATGCAGTCTCTCATTCAGACACTAGTGAAAATTCTGAGTCTGAGAGAGATGGTAAAATGGTCCCTAGCCCTCAAAACAAAGATCTTTCTGCTGTGACAAGGGTGCAGAATGTTTCAAACTTATCAAAATCAATTTCATCATCTGGAATAAGTTTAGCCACCAAAGAAATGCATGGATTGAGTAAAGTGCCAACTGTTCTTGGAAAAGTAGTTGCAACCCCGTCACCTGCTGGGAAACCTCTAACCAAAGAAACACAATCCACAAATAAAATGTTGCAAGTTCCAAGGACATTAATGATTTCATCTGCAGGTGGGACTGTACCTAAGGATGTTCAAGCTAAAAATAAAATTATGTGTGGCCCTGCTACAGTAGTTTCATCTCCTACTACAACAGCAGTAATTACCACCAGAGACACACATGCAGTAAATCAAGTTATTGCACTACCTATAAATACAAATTCTAATCCACAAACTTTAACAGAAATATCTCCCAATACTGGTCCTAGAATTCTATTTTTAGCATCTCCAACTGGTGGTTTACCTCTTCTAACACCAATATTGCCAACTACAAGTATACCAATTATCCAGACTCCTGTCAGTGCACCTACCATGACCTTCCCAAGAGGGGCAATGGAAATTGTTGAGTCTCCGCGAATCACTACTTCCAGACCTAGGAAGGAGAAGGATTTGAGTTTTGCTGTTCCAGAAACTGGCCTTCAAATTATTAACCCTGAGTCTTTGAGCATGAAGAATTCTGACATCTCGAGAACATCTTCAAAGAAGCCAGGATCCTTTAGGAAAGGATCTTATGACGAGAAACTAGCAGCTTTATCATCTCATAATATTCAGTTGTCATCTGCAGTAAAGGTGCAACAGAAACACAACAAAGCACAATCTCCATTACATATCACAAAAGGAAATAAAAACAGCAGTAAAGAAAGTGGAGATAAAAGTGCTTTGATTGCCTCGAAAGGCAAATCTGGAAATTCTGAAGTATCAGAAAAGCAGGACGGGACTGTAAAATCAACAGCTGTCACTAATATAACAGTAAATGGGAAAACTGCTGCCAAAAAAACATCGATTCAGAAGAACGATTCACAGATGAGTGTGAAAGATCAGCAGAAAATTGACTGCAATGGTGAAAATATGGATATTGATGATGAATCGGTTTCAGAGGAATTAGACCAAGGATTTGTTGATGATACTCGAAACGTTAACTGTCAAAATTCTTCTGGAAAAACCAAAGATGTATCTGATTTAGAAGAAAAATATAGAGAACAAAAGCAAAGGAAGTCATCCAAGAAATCTTCACAAAGTGAATCGAATGATCGTGACTCACAGGATATGTTGGAAAAGCGTTTGGAAAAGATTGAGCAATTGTACAATGAAATACCATTGTCGAAACCTCGATTATCATTTTCTGAAGAGGAGTACAGTAAAATGCGAGATGGTTTCCGAGATAGCATGCGCACCATTAAATCAATAACCGCATCATTTAATGATCTAATCAGTCAGTCTTCATCTCTAAGTTGCAAAGGTCTTGTTCATTCTTCAAGTCAGACAGAAACAATTGTAGAAACTCATTCTTCAGGATTGAATGCTAACCCAGTGAGTGATGAGAAGTCAGAGATTGTCGATAGTGACCTCGAGCTGTGTCGTTTGTGTGGTGGATTCTTTGTAGCAGACTCTCTCATTTCTCTATTCGGTAAACTCAGTAAAACAAAAGACCTGTTATCTATGTGGACCACAATTCTCCCTCAGACAACTCCTGTGAAGGAAGATGATGGTTTGCCTCAGCAGGTCTGTGAGGCTTGTATAGAAAAACTCACCCTTTGTCACAGTATAATCAGTCAGTTTCTGCAAGCTGATAAAGAACTGAGGCAAGTTTTACAAGATGAGAAACCATTTTCAACGGGTTCTGAAGATGTAAGTTCAGAGGGCACAAGTGTTGCACATCCTCGGGAAAAAGAACTATCTTCTGGAGAAATTGTTTCAACTGCAGTTGACAACTTGTATTCACAGGTAATAACGAAACAGAAGTTTATATTATGTCCTGTTTTCTGTGAAGTGTAACATATATATGTTGAAGGAATGGGCAATTTAATGTTAATTTATTTTTTTTAAAAATGTAAATGATTAATTGATAAATTGAATGTATTGAATTATTTTTGTAATTAATCTATCCATTAATTTTTTCAATTGTTTAGCTTGAATATTTTATTTTAATATTATATTTCAAGATATAAAAATAGTCCTGTACACTTTAGCAATAGATGTATCTGTTTATCTCCCTCTCTCTGAGAATCACAAAATGTAAACGTTAGTGATGTGTTTTGTATTAGAAAAACTTATAAAATTAACAGTAATCATATGTTTTGATATTAAAGAATACATTGCTAATTAGTTATTGATGTTACTGTTAATTTAGTTAATGTAAACACGTGAATGTTTTCCTGAAAATAATAACTACAAAAAAAAAAAAAAAATCAAAAGTTAAATAACTTAAATTAAACAAAATAGAAAATATTTGTTTTACAATAGGTTTCGTAAATTAATTGCTTAATTACTCAACTCTGTTTTCACATCATAACAATACACACTAAGAATTAATAATTTTAATGTTTCATGCATTGTTTAAAACCCCCGAGTTCCATATTCTAACAACATTTCTCTATAGAATGTATACAGTTGTAGTTGCTGTATAGAGTTGAGATCACTGATTAAAACATGGAATATTTTTATAATCAATAATATTAATCATTTTATTCAGACAGATTAATCGGTGCATATAAATTTAACAATGAAATTTTCTTGAAAGAAAATTATTTGAATATGATGCTGGATATTTATGTATCAAAAGGTACCTTGGAGGGCACACTCATAAGTAGGTGGGATTCCACATGGGAAACAAAGATTGTCAGTATCAATGAAAAATCTTGACCGGTGTCACCTTCTGTTTTCATTTAGATTTTTAATACAGCCTGTATTTCCACAGGAGGACAAAACACGACCGTTCTTTGATGTTGTTCAGGCTTACAGTTATGTATGCAACTTGATCGAGATCAGTGCCAGGACAAAAAAAAAAAAAGGAAAATAACGATGTCAAAGGCTGAAAAAAAATGGACAATTAGACAAAATAGGCAAAATGAAAATCTACGAAAACAACCCTAGAAGTACAATTAAATAATTCCTACTGTTAAAAGTCATAAAATAATATTAACAAAAAGACATTTTGCAAAATTTCAGGGCTCTAATTATGATGAATGAGACTTGTGCCTTCTAGGAATATGTGGCTTGATAACAAGCTAGTTGTGATAGGAAATTAGTCAATCCACAACTTTGTGTGTGGTTGTAACTCTATTAGACTTTGTGACAGTATATTGCAGTATTTACAATCTTGTCTTTTCTGACAAGCACAATTTTTTATTATGGATGTTGAAATTTGGAATTTCTCTTGTTTTTTACAACAATCTCACATTTTATCAAATTCTTATGGTATTTAAAGTATTGTTCGCTCCATTATATTACAGCGCCAAATATTGTGATGATAGGCAATGCAAAGATGGATAACTACTAACGATCTCGATCAGGTTGTTGTCCCGTTTCCCTGACCCATTGAGCAAATGCTGAGATGGCCCCTTGTTTTGCTTCTGGATGTAAATGTAGCTTCACTATGCACATGTTTTGTTGATCTCTCCTTTTGCTTGTAATGGTAAGAGTAGAGGTAAGGGCGAGTTGCTATTTTGTCAGCATTGCAAAAAAATCATACTTGTAATTCGTGTACCGATGCAAATAAGTTTTCTATTCCTCAGAAACGAAAATCACAAATCAGATCATCCTCAGAAATGCTAATCTAGCAATTTTTATAATTTATTTTTATTTATTTATGTTAAACTTTTACTGATCTTTCAACTATTTATAGTTAAAATGACCGGAAAGGGGTTCTGGAACTCAAGAAAATGTGCGCAGACAATATTTTCACCCTACGTCACATACAGTTTTTACTGTTTTCTTGACTGAGTAAATCTAATGTTAGGACAGCAGGAAAATAAAGAAAGTAACCACAAAGTGGTTATATATATGACATAAGCACTATAATGCTAAAAAAGTTCTTGTGTTAAACTAATATAAACAAATATTCACAAAGGGTTCAAAAATGTTTTGAATGAAAATTTAAAATTCAAGAAAAGGAGCAGGCCCCATTAATCGGGTGGCAGTGGGCCCCATCACCACCCACAGACTGATGTACAGTTATTTTGTCCTATTCTGTTTTGAGGCTGTAGCTTGCTGAGTGTTACATTTAGAAAAAAAAATACAAAAGTAAGAAATTTTATTCCATTTAGAATTGAGTGCATTTATTTATCAGTCATCTATTAAACAGTCCAGTCTGTCACACCCACTCAGTGCACATACACAGAGTATGTGCATTGCAGGTTGTGCAACAATTTTGTTTGTAAATGTCACTTTCTTTTCACCCTCTCTTCTATGGATGTCTTATCCCCACAGTATTGTTTTCCTATTGTGATTCCCCAGTAACAATGTATTTTGTTTTGTTAAAATTACATTGTTTCTGTATTGAAGTGGTAAGCTCAAAAATACGAACACACATACACCTCCATCAATATTTTTGTATAATAATATTTTTGGCAATGCGTACATTTGTAGGGAAATGTTTATCTCAACGGTGAGGTTAATACTAGTATTACAAGCATTTATAATACTTTATTTTAATTTGATTATAATTGGCACTTCATGACCCTTATAACAATCATGAGGATGATCAGATTGCAATGCGATTGGGTTTCGCATCTCTGAAATCATGGAGGGATGTTACTGATTTGATTTTTTGAGAAAATTACTCGATGACAGTGTAGATTGCATTTTTTTAAAAAAAATATTTTAAATTATTATTATTATTATTATTAACAATTGAACTTCAGAGCCCATTAATTTAATTGTAGAGCAACTGATGAATTTTTGCTTCGTGAGTGTATTCAGTTTATACATCTATTTACAGGGTGTGTAGAACTACTGACATTATAGGATTTGATTTGATTGAAACCACAGATAAGTTGATTCTGAGAAAGGCTTGTTGTACAAGTATTTACAATACTCAAAATTTGTGTACTTGTTTTTAAAATTCTTTTTTTTAATGTATTTTTTAAATTATATTAGTTTGTTTCAATTACTTGCAAAAATTGTAATCTGGATATCATTTGGTTTTAATTCTTCATGCTTGAATGAGTTATTAACATATATTAATAATTGTAAAAACAAACAAATTATCTGTGTATTGGAAATACATAATATAAAGGTGGATTTTTGCACACAGTTCGGAGTGATTAAAGTAGCATATTTTTTGAAGAGCAGTAGCTCACGTTGTAATTGGTTTCGAATAATATGTTTTATACAAAAGTTAGGGTACAATTTATCAACTTTAAAATTGATTTTAATAGTTTTTCTACAGGACTTAAGGATGAAGGGTTGTAAAGATAACCCTGATAAAAGTCAGAAAAGATACCGTGGTTACGCACAGCAGGTGTGGTTGGTTGACAACTCGTGCTATGACTTTCCGGATTGCCCCCCCCCCCCCCCACACACACACACACACACAATTTTGTATATAGTACTTACTGACTGAACCATAAAACATCAGGCAAAAATAGAACCATACTTAAAATACTTTGACTCATCAATTGTCTTTCACAGTACCAGATGGTGGATGGTTATCCTCATCTAGTTTGTTGTGGGGTTGTGTTTTTTTTTTTTTTTTTTTTTTTTTTTTTTTTTTTTTTTTTTTTTTGTTTTTTGTTTTGTTTTTTTGTTTTTTTTTTTTGTTTTTTTTTTTGTTTTTTTTTTTTTTACCAATTTATTTAAATAAACAAAATTAACCAAAAGAAAACTTTTACATAAAATTCATATGTACAAGCAGCAGTATACTCCGTATTTAAACATAAGGAGAAGTGACATTTGATCAACCTAAACACTGTTATCCATTCGAGAGATTTGTTATGACAAAATGTTTGAAATTGGAAGCTCCTGATTGAATATCGACTTCCCAGCTTATCAATCATCAATTCACTCTATATATTAGACATTAGTCCCTGATACCAGGTGCACAAGATGTTTTAACACACAAGGTACACAGTGTTACACACGAACATAAACTGCAATTTAGAACTTAATTTTAACATCATTATACACTTCATTCCTAGATAAAATTTTTATTTTTGTTTTTTTATTCAACTCTGTGCTGCTGAAAAATTTAAAAAACAATTTTAAATTGGAAAGATATTTCCTAAGACAGTCCAAAAAAAATATTCACTTCCTTTTAATACATTTTAAAATATGATATACTATTTTTAAGATTTCAAAGTATTTAACAAAGATATTGTTATATTTAAAGTTTTTTTTTAATTAAATATCTTAAGCTTTTGGTGTAGTCATATTATCTATTTGTGAAGGCATTGAATATGCGAGTCCCTTGTAAGTCTCAACAAGAGTGTTACTTAAAAATAACTTTAAATACACCAATATTCCTTTTAAAAAATCAGAATTTTTTTAAAAAAGTCAGTTTATGCTTGTTTATAGGAATCTCTTTATTGGAGAGCATTTTCCTTTTCTGTACTTCAAGTTACAGGTCACAAGCTTACAGGTTCAAGAAAAATACTTCAGGTTAAAGGTCACAAATTTCCCTTCGTTTCTTGGTTTCAGTAATTTTCATTATAATGAGAAACAATAAATTAATGATATTACGAATGTTGTCTTTGTGGGTACATAATAAGAACTTCGGAAAAGAAATATGATATAAGTAAATATTAATTGAAATACAAATGAAGTGTTTAGTGTTGGTCATTTAATATCTTTGTCCTTCTGTGAACATTCTTGATTTCATCTATATTGAATTTTCTGTATTATTGGTATAGATTCTAATTTGTAGTCCTGATTTAAGTTTGTACTGTTTCAGCAAAGTGATTTGGAAACCCAAAGTTGTACAAAAGAAAGTTCAAATGAAGAATGTTTGAAGGTCAGTGAGGAACCTACTGTTGAGGCTCATGGTCAGAAGAGAAGACATGGTCATTCAGAAATTGAGTGGTTTGTATTAAACCTTTGAGTCCTATGTAATAAGTTAACCTTTTTGGAACTGCTTTTAAATGCCGTTAGAACCCCATCTTATGTGAATCACTTTCTCACCACAGTCAACAACTGCTGTTTTGATCCTATCATACTCTTGAGCTACTAGCATGTGGTGATTGATTTAACCCTTCAGGCGTGGCTTACCTTTCTGGCAAGTCTGCCCTCTCAGAATGACTTTTCCGCAGCGTGTAATGTCTTCTTGCTGCCGCACACAAAAAATGTATAGCTACCTTACTACTAAAGATAAAATCATAAAACATACACAATCGAAATGGAAATTTAATAAGTGAAAAAAACAAAAATTAAACTGTTCTGAAGTACAAATCACTTTTTAAAAATGCACAATACTTATTTAAAATGCTTAATTTTTTTCTGTATGGTATTTTTCGAGGCATGGCACAATGCACAAAGATGGCTTTCTATTGCATGTCTTACTTCCGTAAGAGGTCTCCTTCCTTTTCTTGTTCTTTGTGCACAAAACACATTTTCTCATATACATTATAAATTTTGCAAAAGAATTTATTTTGAATGTGAATCTATAATGAATTTATAATATAAATCCTTTAATAAATAAATCTTCAAATTGCAAATTAATTGTGGAATTTTGTAATATAAATTTCTCATTGGGCCATCTCTTTTATATACCTACCCTATTTGGTGTAATCCCTGTACTATCAATCTAAATAGATTTCAAGTAATTTAAAATAAATTCCTTTGCAAAATTTAACAGGCTCCCCAGTTTATATCAAATAAACAAATCCACAGAAGAACTTAAAACTGGTTCTTTCAAATCGTTTATACTTCACAAAAAAATTCTGTAACAAATTATCAACTTCACCTAGTTTGAAAAACTTTACATTAGGTCAAAACTATTTTCCTTGTCCTCAAATCCCATCACCCCCCCCCCCCCCCCCCCCCCCCCCCCCCCCAAAATCCTCCATAAACTAAAGGCTTGTTTGTATTTTATTGCTCTGAAACTAATTGTACGGTAAGCATTCCGCGGCCGAAATCCATGATTCCTCACTGCCCTGAGGAAGCCCTGCGGAAATGTCAGGCGAAACGTCGGCACCCCAGCCAACGACGCGGCGTCTCCCGGATAGCCGAGAATCCTCTGAAACTAATTGTTAATGCAATCGAACAAGTAGCTTTTTTTAATTGTATTTTTAACAACCAAGAATTTTCAAAACCATATCTGAATCACTTTCATTTTCTTCATCAGAAGAATCCCTAGAATAAACAATAAAATCATCTACTTCACTTTTATCACTATCACTCACACTATCACAAAAGCTCTTCAATTTCATTATCTTCTAGGGAACACTTCGCTACATAACACAACACAACTTAAACCTCAAAATCTGTCGTGCACCTTGTCAAACATAAACATATTAAGAGGAATAGAATGAGCATGCCATGTTGCCAACACTCCAGCATAGAGCTCAAGAAGTGTGTTGTTGTCTTATCTAGAGATGCAAGCCTGAACTTTTTCCATTTCTTCGGAAATTACATTAGAAAACAGTATACGACATGTCATGTCAACTGTTTAAGACATTTGTTGACGCACACACTTAGAAGTGGCTCTTTCTCAGGATGACATGTCATTGCGTACCTTGAAGGGTTAAAAAAATAACTCCAAAGGGAATATCTACCCGACCTCAAATAAAACTTTGCCCCCGCTTCCCGGGCGTGGGGCGGAGGCCAACTTTGAAATCTTTAATGAGAACCCCCATTTTTTATAGCATGTTCGAATTCTATCCTAAGAAATATATAAGATGTATAACACAATTTTTGTTATTGGTGATAGATGGGGCTGTAATCTCAAAAGTAAGATCTTGGCAATTATCGAGAAATTACACTTGTTTGAAAATTAAAGAATCATCTAATAACAAATAAAGAACCCCTACACGTTAAATCTAATTCTTTAATGAACTTAATGGAAGTTCCCATTTGAGATTTGAAAGTTAACCCCCACCCAATCCCTAAACGTGGGGTGACAGCTTTACTATTTAAAGTGTAATTTCTCAATAATTGCAAAAATCTTATTTTTGATATTACAGCACCATTACCATGAATCAGAAAAAATGTGTTAAACAAAACTTATGATTTTGTAGTGTAGAATTCAAATAGGTAATAAAAAGTGGGGGTCCCCATTTTATATTTCAAAGTCTCTCCCCCCCTCCCCCACCCCCCTTCTAGTATGGTGGAAAATGTGTCTGTATGTGGTGACAAGATTACTGATGGCTGTTTCCTATTTCAAGATAGACCTAACAGAGGCAAAATATAGCGGCTTGTGAATCTTGACATTACAGAGGTAATGAGAGTTCCTCAGTATGAAACTGGGCATCCTTTTGGTCTTACTGCAAGTTAATTCAATATGCAGGTTGAAGTTTGTGTGCATCTAGGTCATTCCAAGGTCAACTATATTGTCCATGAAATGAAGGGGGTGATTGCTATGTAGGGGTCTGTTGGGGTTATGTTGTCGATTAAGAGCATCAGTAGCATTATAAACATTTGTTAACATTTAGGCTATTCAGTGCTTTGAATACATTAATAAAGTTCAATTATATTTGGACTAGTGAGACAAAGAAACTTTGTGAGTCGTCATCAGGTTCATAGAAGCAAGAAGAGTCCTTGGATGAGTACCGATATCTAAAATAGTTGGCAAACATATCAGCTTCATTGGGATTGTAACACGCAGTGCTTTGCCAGTGCAATATATTTGGAACTTTTTATTTAAAAATTTTGATAATATTTGTTTAAAATCTTAAGAAATTTTATTAGTATCCATTACATACAAGATCTACAATCAAACCAAATTCCTAGGAGATAAATGTGTCATTTAAAGGGAGTAACATCTGTGAGAGATCGGAGTGTGATCTTTGTACATTCATTAATGATATTGATCATATCACTAGTAAGTCCTCTCAGCAGTTCAGATTTGTGAGAAGAGCGAGTCAGTCTAAAATTATTTAAGTACTGAGAACTATATATATTTCTCGTAAGATCCTCATGGATGTTTGCCTATATAGTTTATAATATGCATAGTAGATCCTTGGCATCAGTAAACAGAAGAGCATACATTTTTCAGAATTGTCGCCCCACATTGTGGTCTTATGGATTCTTATATCAATCAAGGTTACATACTTAAAATATTCATTCTTTGAAATATAAGAAAGATTTTATCAATGTAAAATTGATCTTCAAACTTGTCTACAAGTCAAAGGATAGGCATTCAATAATAATATTAAGTCATCATCATTGGCAGTATACAACTATGGATAATTGCAAGGAAAAATGTAGACCATGATGACAGTAAATTCGCTGTGAGGTGGAAAAATTTTCACAAAAAGCTGCTCCATAGACTCAGCAGTAAAAGATAACTGTAAAGATCTTAAGCTGTGGTCTCAAGGACACCCCTGCCATTTAAAAAAGTACGGAAATGAAAACCAAGGTCATGCCAATAGATATCATAGAATACCAATAGAAAGGCAAGGTTCATCATTAGCAAAATCAGAGTTTAGCCATGTTTCAACCAGTACAATCACATCATATTTGATGACAGAAGAGTTCACAGCTACATAGAGCTTGTTTAGCTTAGTCCTGAAACCTTTATCATTTTGGTAATAAATCTGCAAACACTACTGATCAGTAGAGGATCTTCCTGTCACAATTAGGATTTTCCTAGACTTAAATGCAACTAATGAACCATTAAAATATCTAATGTAAAGTTTCTTTTCACCAGCTTCCGCACATCCATTCAACTCCTCTATAAAATCAAGCAAGTGTATTTGTTGCTTAGAAGTAAGATCATTTTTCACTTGAATACCTAGTTTTCAATTTGTCCTTGTTACGTAAGACAAGACTTTAAATGATTGTATGTTTTTACTTGTATATGTACGTTCACACAGAGTAATATACATAGGATATAGAAAGTTATGTAATGCTGCACAAAAAAACAGTGAATTTTTGGAAGAAAAACTTATTGCTGGGCCCTGCCATGAAGAAAGTAGATAAATCCAGTTGCTAAATCCTCTTAACATGTGGTGTAGCCAGAATCCGTTTTATTAGTCCATACTGAAAAATCAATTGACGGCAAAACTTCAGCCAATTTTTTTTTTCCTTCTCTTATTATATTTTGGCATGAATTTCATATTTTTTAAACTAATGAAGTTGTTTTTCCATATTGTTCACATTCTTTTAAAATCTGAAAATAATATGTTATAAAATGTTATGAGACACCTTCTAGGAGGATAAACTGAGACACAACTGTAATGTTTTTATGTCCAAAATCAATTTCAATTTTTTAAAACTTTCAATTGAATTTGGCATCAAAATTGATTGACAAAAATACCTTCAAATTCAACTCTTTTTCCTTGTCTGTGAAATTTTTTTTCTTCAGCTTGATACATGCAATAGAAGCTGAGAAAAAAATAAAACATGAAAAACAAGTTTCTCATTCAATCTCTGTATCAGATGGCTGTAGGACGCTGATTTTTTGCAAATCTACAGCATTTTGTATTCTCTTTCATATGAGTATCGCTATTATCAATTTACTTTGGGGGAACTTTTCACCACATGATGCAGATATATCCTTTTATTTCAGCAGCATCATTTCATCTGGCTTGATTTTTTGCTAGAATCCAGTTCTTAGACCTATAAAGGAACATGGTGATAGCCATTACTTTATAGAATTTTAGGTGTGTTTCTTTGCTTGTTGCTTTAAGATTTATTATAGAATGTAAAAAAAAAATCAATTAACATATTTCATTAATTTGAACTTGAGGAACATGAGGAAAACTTTGTCTTATTTAAAGTAAATTTCAAATATTAAACCACAGAGTGTCACTGTTATTCATTGGAAATATTTTTTTTTTTTTTTTCTATTAGATAGATAACATCAAAAACATGCAGGGTTTTTATTACAGGATTATTTGAAATATTGGATAGTAGATTTCAGTAGAGTACTTTTTTTACATAATACTAAGAGAGTACTTTCAGTAGAGTACTTTCTTTACAACAGTGGTTTTACTTCATTTAGCTATCATTTGTTTATTAAAATATTTAACTCAGCAATGTTTTTTGTGTATGCGGAAGGAGAGTGAGCGAGCATCTATATAGTATCTTAAGTGCCTATTTTTAATAAGAAATCTGCTAATCATTGTGAAAGTGTTAAAGCATAACAGCGAAGCACTTAAAGTTCTTTGTGGGACTTTGATTTTTTTTCGGTGTATTTTTTCCATTTGTTTGGGATATTACTTTTTCATACCAACAAGAAATGGTCAGATCAAACATCAGAACAATACTCTTGGGTAATTTTCCAAGTTTGTCATTTACTAATAGATAATGAATTTATTTGCTGATCGAGAATGTCTGACATTCCAAGTGTACTTATGGATGTCTTTGTGTGGAAAGAGGGTATCGGTTATTTTGAAGTTTAGTGGCAAAATCTTTGAGAATGCAACCAGTCCATGTATAGTTATTTCTCTGTGCTTTTCCATTCCATTTTTTATAAGTTAGGATCATTTGGAACTATAAACTTATATTATGTAATCATTTCAGTTTATAGCATCATACTGTTCTGTAATGCTTTATAGAACTTCGGAAAAATCTTTGTCCATCGTCTGGTCTGTAAATGATGATCAGGGTTGTGTATCCTCTCTTAGTTTTTACTTTCTTGTATACGGAGAAATATATTGAGTAATATATTTAATATAGACAAAATTATGTAAATTTGATTTCGAGATTTGAACGTTAATACATGTTTTGGGGTCCCTGATACTGAAAAAAGTGTTGTTTCTTCTTCTTCCTTCTTCTCCTTTTTTTTTTTTTTCTTTTCTTCTTCTGCTTCTTTGCCTTCTTTTCAAAACGAATGTCCATCCAACTGTATGTCTGTCTGTCCATCTGTGAACACCACTAGCACCTAAACCATACATAGGATTTTTTCCATAATGAATATTCCTTGGATATGACACAAAGTTCCACGGTTTGGAAACATTTTCTTTGAAATATGAAGGTTCTTTACTGAAATTTTTGCTCCAAACATTTCCAGTGGGTAGTCCTAATTGCACTGTTAAAATAGACATAGTTTATTTTGGGGTATTCTTTTGTTTTTTCAAAAATTACACAAATGGTTGTTTATTTTTTTTAAATTTTTTATATCTCTTATGACGTTAACATGTCCATTTCCAGCGATTTGTAAACACTATTGCATTTTTGCATTGCATTGCAAATTTCTTTTTTTCTGAAATTACTTTTCTTCACTATTTGTTTTCTTTTTATGTTGGTGCTCAGCAAATGAGTTTTCAATGGCCAACCAGAGTCTGAAATCTTATGGCTTGGTGAAATGGGGGGGGGGGTGCCCAATTAAAATAGGTAATTAGGCAATGTAGTTCACAGAGCCAGTTGTAGACACTGAAGTTGTAGAGACAAGCTAATTAGAGTACTTCTAGTACTTCTTATTGAAGTGCTGCCATTGGAGAATTCCATGGTTTCTTACAGTGTCAGTCATTCTTCTATTACACCATAAAGATTTAGTGTTAACATCATTGTATAAGGGTTGAACAAGTTCACAAGTTGATGGCACCTTGCTTTGCAATATCTGTCAATTTCAGAGTAACTTGTTCAATATGATAACTTCAAAAACTAGAACCTGTTTGATCTACCCTGTCCCTAGTCCTGCAATTTAGTCAAGTGAATATTAAACCATTCAGTTTCTGTATTTAGAGGTAGCTTTATAGTTTTGTGATTGTTTTATTTTGTTAGTAACAATCTTGACTTTCTTTCCTTTTGCAGTACAAATACTGACAAATCTACCCCCAATTCAAAACACAAGAGAAGACGAAACAAATCATCTAACGAAAATGAATCTCTTCATGCCACTGAAACTTCTGCTCCTTCTGGGTCATCTTCAGGATGTATTGACTTATCGCGATTGGATCCTGAATTTAATGATGGCTTTGAAGTTGAGTGGTGTTTAGATGAAGAAACAATTCGATCATCTATGGTCCCAGAGGAAGATGTAAGCCCTGGTTTAAGTGAAGACACTGCAGTTTCTACTCTTCGTGTTACAGCTAATGGAGCAAGTGAATCTGGAATGAATCTTTCTGCTGGACCTGAAGGATGTGCTGAATCCCATTCAGGAAAAGTGGAATTGCACTTGGCTGTAAATCCTCAGAAGAAGAAAAAGGTTAATTTGGGAACTGAAACACCTAAACACACAGACGAGGTTAGTAAACTATTTGAGGTGGCTACCTCAGTTTGCAGGTCAACCGTGAATAATCAAAACCCAGTTTCTACAGTGCATCAAGAGAAATCTGTTGTTCATCCTAATGTAACACAATCACCAACTCTTCTCAAGTGTTCTTCCTGTCCTTTATCTTTTCATAGCAAACAGGAGCTCATGTTACACCAGGTAAAGCAGCATGAGAAGGGAGGTACTTCTCAGTGTTCTGAGGGTAAACAAGATAGTAGTGCAATTAAACCCAAGAATCTTCCTCAAAAGCAGATTAGTTCATCGGACTTAAAGCTTGATAGTGAAAGTTGTGAAGAATCAGTTATGTGTGATCAGTGTGGACTGCCCTTTCCTAATGATTATTCCCTTTGTTTACATAAGAGTGTTATTCATGGAACTTCAGTGAACTCTCAGATAATAATTAAAGACTCTAAGGGATTTGAATACAAAATTGTTGATTCTAAGGAATCACTAGAGGAAAATGCAACGAATCAGGAAATTCCTGAGGCATCATTGTCTGATGGGAAGATTCTTGTAAAGTGTGGAAGTGGGATGCTGTGGGTTAATTGTTCAAAGTACTTTTCAGAGGAGCAGATGTCTGTTGTACAATCTTCAGACTTAACTGAGGTAAACTATGTGAATGTTGAAAACAACTCTGTAGTGTTAACTGACCAGAATAGTTCTACTGTTAGTCCCCAGAGTGTTGCTAAAGTACAATTTGCATATATGTGTGATCATTGTAAACAGGTATTTCCTAGTAGAGCGGAGTTGTTGCCACATATGCAAATCCATTTAAAAGAGAAGTATAGTTGCAGTGAGTGTAATGCCAAATTTGCCTCAGTGAAGGCATTGAATAATCATGTTTCTCTTCACGTTCCTCTTGATCGTGTTTGTGATGAGTGTGGTTTAATATTAGTAGACAGTAAAAAGTTAATTCAGCATAGAAAAGAACACACACACAATCTCCCTCACGTGTGTGAAACTTGTGGGAAAAGATTTCCCAATGAACAGACATTAGAAGTTCATGAAACTGTCCACTACAGTAAGAAAGGGCCTCTTGCTTGCTCTCTTTGTAGAAAGTGCTTCTTCTTTAAGCATAGTCTTGTGCGCCATCGGAGTCAACATGCGTCCAATAGACTGCAGAAGTGTTCCCTCTGTTTCAGGGTCCTTAATTCAAGTGACCAGCTGAGGAAGCATGTTGCTCTGCATCATCTGATGAAAAATTTTGTTTGTTTTTGCAAACAGACCTTCCCAAGCCAGAAGGAGCTTGTGGAACATAGGTACCTGAAACATTCATATGCTGAAATATTTTGTGCAAGAAACAAGGTTGAAATTGCTGAACCATTGCCTCTTTATCAGTGTAGTATATGCTTGAGGGTTCTGAACTCGAAACAAAGTCTACAGAAACATCATGCCACTTCTCACAGTTCCACATGGCCATTCTTTTGTATTCAATGCAGTAGAAAATACACATCAAAATATCACCTTGCAAGACATGAGTGTCACCGGAAGAACACTTCATCTTTCCAGTGCAAAATTTGTGGAAAAGCATTCCAAAACAAAGACGTTTTTAAACAGCATAAAGTAATCCACAATAATAAGAAGTGGAGGTACATTTGTCGGCACTGTGGAAAATCCTTTCAGAAAAGTCAATCCTTAGTGTCTCATATAATGATGCACGGCGGAAAAAAATTTGTATGTCCTCGTTGCCATCAATCTTGTCAAGACAAGGAAGGTTTGTTGAAACACTATAACACTGGTAGTTGTCAAATGAAAAGAAAAACATTGCAGTGAATTCCTTGTGTAGTACTGTGTAGAGCTTGAAGTGGACAAGAGAAGAGGTATAATAGGTCACGAGTCAGAACCTACTAAAAAAACTACTATTTTGCTATTTGTACATATTCAGATTTAGTTATATTATTTTAAAATATGTTCTTAGCAATTATATCATGAATTAGTTTCTGTCAAGGTTAAGCAGAGTTAAGGAACTTCATTTCAAAAGTAAAAGATGGACAGAATTGTTTTCATGGTAGAACAAAAATATTGTAGTTGATATCATAAATGTTGAACCTGTGGGCTTACTTTTTTCATGCATTGTGTCCTCGGGACACAGCATACTTCTTCACATGTCTATTTTCCGTATTAAACGAGATAAATTTAATAGTGAGTTTGTGAGACATTTTTCTATCCTTCCATGTTTGTTAAGCCAAAAGTCACTGTCAATGTATGTTTGAATGTACGAACTTGAGTTCAGACTCAATGAAATATGATTCCTATTTCTAGAAACATCAGGAAGTTTTATATACATTCATTTTGGATTCTAGAAAGTTTAATTTCACTGATAAGAGTTAAATGACGTTTTTATATTATTGCATATGAAAAGACAAGTGGAAGTTGATAATTAAAAATAGAGATGGTTTTGATAAGCATTTAATTCACTTTAAAATGTCACGATTTGCTATGCAATTCTGTATAATAAATGGATTTGATAAAATCTTGTTTTTGAAAATCAGTTGAAGCAGCTATGCTGTTCTATTAAAGTAAAGCAGGATTTTGTGTTATAATGTTTAAAATCTTTATTTGTAAAAATGAAATGGTTTTCATTTAAAATTTACACAATTTGTAAAACATGAAAGGAAACACTTCACTAGGGAGAAATTGTTTCATAATGTTCAACATATTTAATGAATATGATATCTTGAGTTTAAGATTACACTTTACTTTTTTATTAACAAAAGCATTAAATGAAGGATGATACATTGAAAATTATGATAGAATTGATCATGTGTGATATAAGAATGCCTGTTAAATCTTCAGCTAATCCTTTAGTTGATGGGCATAAAGATGAACTTTCTATTATTCGTTGGTGTCATTTGTATGTCAAATATGTAAAAATTAAAGATATTGTGTGATTAATTTCTCCGCTTCAAGCTCTGCATTTTCAACAGAATCTTACACAAATTGATATTATATTTTAGAAAAAACATGGTTCTTAAATTTCTTAATGTGCTGTTGTCAAAGTATATAATTGAAATGTACAGAATGGTCCTTTTTGGAGATTTTTAATTGCCTTTAGATTTGTTCTAATCGTTTATCTTGTTTTAGTTTCGATTTGTGTTCATGAACCAAAGTGAAAGTTAAGTGATTATGCTGTGAACGTTGTGTTAAACAGCATCTCTTTCATGTTTTATACATAATTTTGATGATTGTTTAAAGTGCAAAATAAATTTATGCCTTATAAAAGAATACTGTGTATACCATTTATTTGCTCCTTACAACTATTTTGGCCTACAACTTATTTTGACCTTAAAAAGAGCACGAAGACAGTGTAAACATTTGCTAGGGAAAAAAGACAATTTCAGGCAATCTCGTGTTTATTCTAAAAAAATCTGTGTTCCAAATCTAACATTCATTAATGTTTTAATGAAATGGAAAAAAAATGATTTTGATGTTTTTTGTGACGCATGCGTAAGCTTCCGCGGCTCGATTCCATACATTCTTTGCTACCCAGGAGACGCCGCATCGCAGAGTGGTTGATATCCAGAATTAGCGATATTTAAATCAAAAATGCATGTGCTCGAAACGAATGAAAACGTACGTGGGCGGGTTCCTAACAGTCTTGCCAGAACTATACCAGTCTCCAAATATACAACATTCATTTCTCAGAAGAATGGGAGGTCTGTTCAGAGAGCGGTTCCGAGCCGCGTGCGCAGCCGTGCCTCAGTTCTGCTTTGACGCGCTCGGTGTTATTGCCTACTGCCTCGGAATTGTTAAAGAAAACTAGATTATTCGATATCGACGAGAATCCGGAACGTTTGTTCTTTAGAATGCACTAACGTTTAATAGAAAATTGTACATTTTTATATGTATTGTATATGCGAAAGTATCTCTACGTATTTGATACAGGTTACTAAGATAGTGATCGGAAATTTAAACTAAGTTATCTTGAGTTACCAGTAATTGCCAAGAATGCTCTTTACACGTTTGTATTCTCTAAACCTGAAACAAAATGGTGGAAAACATTTTTGCCCCTTTCCAAAAAAATGGATTTTTTTCAGATGATCGACAGCCACTCGACGGGAGCTATTCGAGCTCTTGCTTCAGGGTGAACTTTCTCATGCAATACATTTACGGAATAGATAAATGCTAAAGCAGTATATTTCCCGTAATGCTCTTGGAAGTATACCAGAGGCAGTATTAAATGAGAAGACACGGAGATTCACCTGTCAAATGGAAGGTTTGTAACAACGGTAGACAGATTCGCGGCAAGGAACCTAGCATGATTGGGCGACGAAATATGTGTCAAGGAAAAAGCGCAGAAAAAGACGAAAGGTAGACATGAAAAATTATTCTTTATTTTCGAACAGAACAAAAAGGCCGAAAGTATAGCGAGATTTTACAGACCCATTAAATTCGAATTTGTGAAGAAGACACCACATAGGACTAATGCAGAAATAGCTCGTTTAGAAGAAAACATTAAGAAGCTTCAAGCAACAGTTTGGGAGTGACTCTCTCTCTCTCTCTCTCTTTCTCTCTCTTTCTTTCTCTCTCTCTCTCTCTATCTCTCTCTCTATCTCTCTCTCTCTCTCTCTCTCTCTCTCTCTCTCTCTCTCTCTCTCTCTCTCTCATGTATGTATATATATGTATGTGTGTATATATATATATGTATGTGTGTATATATATATATGTATGTGTGTATATATATATATATGTATATATATATCACAAATTATTGAAATATCTGAAGAAAAAATGTGTAATTTACTTACGTTAAAGCCTCCTCTCTGAAGTTCTTTTTTATGACTCATCTCCAAAGCAAATGAACAATCTGAAACAAATTATTTAAAAAACCTTGCCTTAGGGACGCTTTTTATATTGACCTTTCACGCTCAAATTCGCTTCTTCGAGTCCCTTCTTCACATTTCTTACAGAGTATATTTTATAAAATGGCGGGTTCGTGGATATGAAGAAAGATACTATATGATCCTAGGAAAACGTAAATAATTGTCAAATTTCGAAAGAAAATGGGACTCCCTATGGACATCCTTAGGTACATCGAACGATGGGAACACTGTTCTGCAATTTTTCCAAACTGGACTACTATACTAATATAACTGGATATATGGAAATCTCATTCGCCACTTCTCTGCTGTTTTACAAGCATTGAGGATCGGATATGATGTGACTGTGGGAGCTTTCAGAAATAACGCATTTGAAACAGCAAATGTGTATGTCAGTTTATACGAACGAGTACTTTACGCCTGTAACAGTGCACAAAATATTCATTCATAGTGCTGATGTCATTAATGAAATGATGATCCCAATAAAACAACTCTCCTAAGACACGCAGGAAGCCGATGTCGAGAAAGAAATACTCGAAAATCATCTAGAGTACGTGGCGATGAAGATCTGCTTCATTTCCTACTGATTTCTTCTAAATCAGTAATAACAAGCATCCAGCACTATCAACTAAGAAAACTCAACAACTACCGACGGAAGTTTTGAAGTTGTGTATGTTCCTGGAGGTGATGTGCCACGTAAAAGTGAATAGTAGATTCAGAGAGCGATTATTGTCTACTATTGCAACTTTTCTTATTTATTACTTTTTTATAATTGTGTATTTGCTCTGTTAGGTATGAATTCGAATCAGAATGTTTCATTTTGAGTTAGTGTCTCATGAACCTTAGTAGGAGTAGACAATTGCATGCAGTATATCTTAAGTACTCATAGTTCTAACATTGATAACCTGGCAATCAAGACTCGACGGTCATGAATTTATTATTATATTTCGTCCCTACATTACAATATAATGGAAAATGGCACAAGGAATAATTCTGACCATTTTCAACACCGTCGGTTTTACCGTTCTTTTGATAATATTTTAATACCGCTAGATGAAGGAAATCCGCCACTGTGCGTCGTTAGTTGGGAGGCCGACGTTTCGCCTGACATGTCGCAGGCTTCCTCAGGGCAGTGACACTGCGGCGCTACGCGCCCGGTGTTATATACTATCCTGCTTGGCGCCCGGGGGGATAGGTGCGCCGAGATTGGCTTTTTTTTTTTTTTTTTTTTTTTTTTACGGTTTTGTATTAATTCCTTGTTAATCGGTATTCCAAGACCAAAATAATTGAGATTAATTTTGTAAAACTTTGTATTATCCAATTAGTATATACTTCATGGACTCTTGCAGTCAGTCTGCACTTTGTTTTAAAAGTGAAAAATGCATCATACTGTACTTCAATTTTATGCCAGAACGTCGAACAACGAAGCATATAGGCCTGAAATGACAGTCATATTAATGCATCAATTAAATATTACCTATATTTCTAGTTTCTGACCACCGTGATATGGATAAGAGGCCACCAGAAGAGCTAAATCTTTACTCAGTTATTTTGCGCCAACAGTACGTTGCATATTTCCGTGCATGCTCCCTGAAATATTCTCCTGTTGTTTCTTTGCATATTCACTACATGTTCCCTCATTTGTTGACCACAGCTCTCTTGCTTTTTCGTCATACGCTTTTTCTCGTGTTCATCACGTGACCCCTTACATGTCCACAAGTTTCCAGCATATACCTTTGCACGTTCCAGTGGCATGGTGTAGGTGTCAGCCGCCCAGGGCAGTTCCTTTATTTAGGTATTTCAATTTAAAAGACTAAAATACACTGCAATTCTAAAGAATAAGAGTACAAGTTGGATTCGTAAACGAAAGTATCTTAAAAAATTTCAAAATAATTATTAAAAATAAAAATAAAGTACAACCTATTGTACTGAAATTTGCTCATTTTAATCATTTTTTAATTTAATAAATTAAAGCTTCAACAATACCAGATTGTCAAACATATAATTACATAAATAAAATATTTAATACTCGCATGGTCGAATGTATGTGAACACGAACAATTCAACAAAGTTAATTACATAATTTATCACTACACGGACCTATGAGTACTAAAATCACAGAGAGCGTGTATATATATATATATATATATATATATATATATATATATATATATATATACACACATGATAAAAATGTGAATTGGACGACTGACGATCCATCAATAAAACTTTGTCAAAGCATATCTCACGAACTTCCTTGAAAGGACTTATCCATTCCGTAATCTAATTTGTAGGTGTTATTATACAATATTGAACGTTTGTATATAAATAAATAAATGGACGTTGGTATATATGAGTGGTAAACTCCGACACCGTGTGACCGATCTGGATTAAAGTTGACTCGTTTCGTCTTTTTCACTCAGAAGGTTTATGTTCTGTTAATTTTATTGTAACTTTATTTGATGGCGCTGAAGAACAAATTCGCGTTTCATTTTAACACACTTTACTGTCATACTGCTATCCATTTGGGTTTCATTGTATGCATTGCCCTGAGTGGGTCAAAGGGAGAGAGAAATATAGGCAGGCATGCAGAGAGAGCTCTTTTGTCGTTTTCCCCCCAAAAATATTGGAGACTTTTTTACGTATGAATGGAAACATTTCTTAGTAAACACATCGCGTTTTCAGATTTCCAACATTGATTTCGAAAATCAAAATCTACGGAAACAGTCATATTTTCTTTTCTTAAAGATGTCGCCTCATGCATGGATCAAAACGAAGCACCTATTGGGATATTTTTAGATCTTTCAAAACCTTTTGACGTCATTGATCAAAACGTTTTACTCTCAAAATTACCTTCTTATGGAATTCGTGGTGTTGCTCTAGATTGGTTGTGTTCGTACCTTTAACAACGATCTCAGAGAGTAGATATATCTTACTGGAATAATGGAACATTATATACACACCTTTCTGATTCTTTGGCAATTGCATGTGGAGACCCGCAGGGATCGATTTTAGGCAGTATTCTCTCCCTACTATTCGTAAACGAAATGCCCCCACCGACTAGCAACGGA